CGAGAGAAAGAGTCAGAGAGAGCGACGGAGAGAGAGAGAGAGAGAGAGAGAGAGAGAGAGAGAGAGAGAGAGAAAGAAGTCGGAGGAGCGTCCCAATATATCCACAGTGCTTTCCTCCCCCTGGGCTCCCACATAATGCTTCTCTCCTCCGTAGCACCTTCCCCCGTGTCACCCCGCTATCGTCCTCCCTGTGCATCTCTACCCGTGGCAGCATGTGTGGGCCTATGCACGCGGGTAGACGGATGTATGTACCAAAAGAATTGCCTCTGTTAGCAAAGAGCATTCGTGACAACTTGCACGCGCACGCGAAAGAGTTCGTGTTTTTTCCTCGATGCAAAAACCTTTCGGCCGTCTCGTTTTGGCATTTCTATATGCGTTCTTTGTATGAAATACGCGGAATTTGGACGGTATTGTCCATAACACCCTAACTAAAACTGGTTTTCATTTGTTTTTATATCTGTCGGGATATTGCACCTGTGTGAGGTATTCGCATTATATTGCATCTCTACATAATATCTAATTCATATACATATAGATACGGCGTAGAACCCGTACTAATATAAACTATATTCGTAGCAGCCAAATTAATTATTCCCTATGGATAACATGATCATGCCACATTTGTGAGTGTTAGCGGGGTTATAAAATAAAAATCGTCTATTTAATAGAAATTCACGTATTCGTGTCTGTCTTTCCGTCTAGAACGTGTTTTTCACGGAACGTGCGTCTTTCAAGTGCGTCACAACAGCGCCAACTTCCGTGCGTCTACCCTGGACCCTGTTTTGATAATTATAGATATACAACGCAATACGTCAATATCGGCACACGCTCACGCATCCTCCCTCACACACACATGCAGGCATGGAGACACACAAACACCCACCCACACACAAATGTGAACACACACACACACACACACACACACACACACACACACACACACACACACACACACACACACAGCGCATCATCCTCCGCCAGCCAGACAGTCAATCTAGCGGCGTGTTGCGCGCCTGAATAGCAGCGTAATGCAGCAGTAACGTATTGACGGCGGGCCCCGATATCACGGCAACGCTGCGAGAACCGCACAATGAACTGATTCTCATTATTGTCATCGCGTCCACTAAATTTCGAATAGCGACGGAAAAATGTGACTTTTTTGCCGTCGTTTCGGCGCGCTGCGGAGGGTTTTCGCGCTCACCGACTGTAGGCAGTTGATAATGGCAGCGTCTGCTGCCGCAGTCTTGACAGGGATGCGGGGGGAGGTTGTAGCGTGAGAGCTGGTGTGGAAGGCGATGAAGATATGATAACAGCTCGCATGTTAAAGATTTTGCATCGCTGCTGCTGCTGCTGCTGCTGCTGCTGCTGCTGCTGCTGCTGCTGCTACTACTACTACTACTACTACTACTACTACTGCTACTGCTACTGTTGGTGGTGGTGGTGGACTGTTGGTGGTGGTGGTGGTGCTGCTACTGCTGTTGCTGCTGCTGTTGTTGTTGTTACTGCTGTTGATGTCGTTGCTGCTGCTACTACTGCTGCTGCTACTACTACTGCTGCTGCTACTACTACTGCTGCTGCTACTGCTGAGTTATGAACGTGCTGTTTAGCCATAACTCAGGCTTAACTCGAGTCAGGAGGTAACTATGTGCGTGCGTGCGTGCGTGCGTGCGTGCGTGTGAGCGTGCGTGCGTGCGTGCCTGCGCGCGCGCGTGTGTGTGTGTGGGTGGGGGGGCGGTATATATATATATATATATATCTATATAATATGTGTGTGTGTGTGTGTGTGTCGTGTGTGTGT